GAAATTAAGCATTTTGATTGGTTATAATACCTTATCTCAATTAAAATAATATTGGACCGAGTAATTATATGGGGCGTGCTGCAACAAAACCAGACAAAATGAACATAGTGAGTAAATCAAACTAGTAAAAAAATTCATCCCCTTTCATACTTACCATATTCATTCTTCTCGAATGGAGTCGTGAGGAACCGTTCTGGTGTCACGATTGTAAAAAAGGTTGGTGGCAAGGTTATACCTTGAGTGTTTGGAATTGCGGCGATAACAGGGGAGAGGCTGATGGTCGGCAGCTAGGACAATTGATGCTCCGGACAGAGCGATGTTCGCAGCTGCATTTGCATCCCTTCCCCGTGTCGTGTACTTTATCGTCCTTGAGAGGCACCGAGGGTTGACACATTCGATTGCGCCGTTTAAGTGTACAACCTTCTCTATCCAACCAATAACCCGACGCACCCGGTGAAGAACGATTTTCGAAAAGCAGTATGGACACGTTTTGGAGGTGTTGTATTCATTGGTGATTCCAACATGCCCATAGATGCGATGCTGCTCTCTAATCTTCTTCACGCCCCGCCGAGAATGTCCCTTTATGTTGCTATTGATGCCCTGCCAATGCCCGATACAATGAATTATCGCCGGGGGAAGGTTGCGCATGTGCGCGAATATGTTTCCGCTCTTGTGCCGTGATCTTGCTGTACGCCTGCTTGGTGCGGACTTCTCTTTCCCGGCGGTTCTTAGCCAACTTTTTTTTCTTGATTCCCGGACTTACACTGCTTGCTTCCATTCTTTGGTGTTTCTTCTGGTGGCACCTCTTGAAGGTAGCGTTATCAATTAGGCGGGTGGTAATCTTGCTTGGCCTCGGAAGTTGTTGAACACCATCCAAATACAACGTAGTCTCCACATTAGAACCGTCCTCGGTCGAAAGGATATGGAAGCGGTTGATATCGGCAAACACCTCCTCAAGGGTCCTCGAAATTGTCGTGGAAGTGGTGACAATACCAGGATCCGTTCCAGCGAAGACAACCTTTCTTCCCGACGAGCGATGCTCAAGGATTATCGGAAGTAGATCCATCTGCAATAAAAATGTAATGAGCAACCATAATATACTTACCAATTCTATTTTATCCTCTTTTGCCGCTGAGATGTCAGTGACAGTATTAGTGGCAACAGCAACAGTGGTGTTTTGCTCTCAAAGCTATGTTCATAGAATGCAGAGAGCTTTTGGCTCTCACGAGCGTCTTCTCTAAATTAATGATCTTGAGCCGCTTGGCTGCTATTTCTTGCCTAATTTTTTTTAGTTCGCTGTAGTCTTCAGAGCCTGGATCCCACGATGATCGCCTGACCTTCCGGCCGATATTTATTCGATCCAACTCCAGTGGTGAAAGCTCTCGGCGCAGTGACCGCAGGGTTCTGGTCAAGCTTTTCACTTCTGCAAGTTTGTCGGCCGCTGTCTCCGTGTCAGTGCGTTTCATTGGCGTCTTATCTGTAATTGGTGTGTAAGCGACATAATTACCACGTTTTTTTCGTGCTTCATAATTTGACGTGATAAATTTTTTGCCGGGTATTGCCTTCCCTAGCAAGCGCACAGTCCACTTATTGACAAAGATCAACTTCCAGCCAAATTCAAGTTTGTAAGATTTCATCAGCGATTCTATCTTCGATTCTATCTTATTCATGTTGAAAAAGGCCCCGAAGGCGGTAGATTTGTTTTTCCCGGCTTGATAGGAGTTGGTGATCCAGTTCCTATCGTCAACCGGAATATCCCATTGTCCGTGAAATGCATCGTACACACCCGCAGCGGTGAGATGCAGTGCACGAGAATCTTGTGATGAGGTAATCGACAGTTTTCGAATGAGGGAAGGAAACCCGGCAACAGTCACAATGGCATTGGCAAGTGCAGCTAGCGGCGCGCGTGCCAGAATGTGGGGTTCTTGAGGTTTATTGTCATCCATGCGCTGTTGGACGAAAGGTCGAAGGAAATCGGCAATCTTTGCGGACACGGCCTTTTCCCTCTCCGTAAATACTGTCCCTCTGAATGCCGCACACTGAATATCATCACTTGTGATACCTCGTCTGATCTTCCCTGACTCGACCAGCATCCGCACAATGGCCAAAAGAGCTCGTATGTTTTTTGCTGAATAGCCTCGGATTCAGTAGCCGCTTCCTCCTCGTCTTCCTCCACGTCTTCTACATCATCTTCTTCACTCGCTGTATAAATAGCCATGTCCAGCTCATTCAGCTCGCCTTCGTTCTGAATTTCCTCTAGGTTCATGAAGGGCGTATCCAATGATTGTTGTAATTTTTCTGCGATCCTTTGCACAACAAACGTTGGCCGATTGTTGATGACGGCCATTCCGAGTTCGTTCATAAGGCGGGACGTCTGGTGCTTCTGATTTCTACGTCGTTTGCTTGGATTTCCCTGCTTTCGCTTCATCTGCTTTGCCCTGGCCTTCCATTGTCTGATCTCTCGATTGCGTGCCATCTTGATTGGGGCGAGGTGGATGCGAAGGAGAATTCGAATGACGTTGCGCAGACTCTTGCTGTAGATATCTCCTTTCCACATGTTTGTGGTTGATGTATAGGCTTCCTTCAGGGACGCCTGGCGGATTGCATGATGACTCGTCGCATCAGCAATCGTTGAAGATTCTCCTCCTGCTGAAAGTCGCGAATTGATCTCTTTTCTAATTTGTGCAAAAATCCTGAAGATCACTTTGTCTGGTTTTGTTGCAGCATGCCCCATATAATACAATTTGCAGTGTTTCTATTCACTCGGGCCCATATTAGATAATCATGGTGAAATTTTAGTAAAAATTATGCAAATTGCGCAGATCATATGGCCAGAATTATCATAATAAAAGAATAATATTGAAAAATTATGATTTTTCTACAATAAATATATTTTAATTTTAATTGAAATTCCCATATTATAAATATTATAAAAAATCTAAATTATAATAAAAAACGGCTTATTCAAAAATCAATTCAGCTTTTTCACATCAAATCAAAAATTTATAAGAGTATAGAATCGACAAACGGCAGTGTGGGTTACTGAAAATGCGTTGTATGAAAATGGGGTGCACCAGAAGCAAAGAGCTTGGCTCAGTAAAAAATCAATAATTTAGATTATCTGGCATTTTATTACATACAAAATATATACAACATTTTTACATAAAAAATCTATTTAAATATAATTAAACATTTTTAACAATACTCTGTCTAATCCAATTTTCAAGTCCATCAGCCACCCACAACTCTTGTACACTACTACCCAATCCTGAACCACCTTTAACTCGATAAACTTTCTCTCCATCATCAGCACTATCCACGATCACAATTCCTTTTGTCAATAGAACCTTGGCGTGCCAGTTAGTTCTTTGACATAGTGTGCGCGTTCCAATAATCTTTTTTAGGTCGTTGACGAGATCAGGGACTTCTAGTAGTAACAGCGCGTTGTTTATACCGTTGCGTTTGAATGTTTCGGATAATGATCCGGCAATTAGCAATTGTATACCTTTGGCTTTGATGGCAGTGGCCGCTTGTTCTCGTGAGGAGCCTGTGCCAAAATTAAAGCCACCTACTAGGATGTCACCCTATTATAATTAGATAGTAAATCGATTCATCATTATTTCATCTATATTATTTACTTGGTTAAATAGTAAAGAATTACCGATTTTGCGATTTTCTGAAAATTTGGATCGTAATTTTCCATTGCAACTTTTGCCATATATTCCAATGGTAAATCATCCATATACGTGTACTTTCCTGGATATATCGCATCGGTATTCATATTGTCTGCATGACAAAATAAGAGTTCACCATGAATAGATTCCGGGAAATTCGATAGTGTTTGTGTGGCTGATTCTTGAGCGTGTGTCACAGGTGAAGTTATTGATGCAATTTCGGGGTTGATTGTTATTGAGATCTTTGGTGGGTGTGAATTGAATGATGAGAGAGTCATGGCTGAGGACGAAACCAGAGAAGGACTTGCTATTTTTCCAGCAATAGCAGATGCAGCAACTACCTCTAATTGATTTATTATATGTTTAGTAAATTATATTAATCATAATATTATGAGGCAAGCAAATTGAATAAAATTTTATTTACCTGGTGATGCTAAATAAGTTTGTGCATTTGGTGATCCCATTCGACCTTTATAATTCCTATTAGTGGCTGATATTCCAACTTCACCGTCTTCTAGTAGACCAACACCAAGACCTATGAGTAACATAATACATAATGTTCATATTTAATATGATTAATGTTAAATAAAAGTGATTCAACAAGTAGAATTTACCTATGCAAGGACCACAACCAGCGGGTAACACTTTTGCTCCAGCATCCAATAATATCTGCCAATCCCCACTATTTTCCGCATCTTTTTGCACTTCACTACTAGCAGCCGCGACATAAAACTTTACACCTTCAGCCACCTTCTTACCCTGAATAACTTGTGCAGCGGCATGTAAATCAGTAGCACGCGAATTGACACACGATAAAAGATACGCTTTATTAATTGCAATGTTTCTCTTTTCGAGTTCTGAGAGTGGCGTAGAAATTTTTACGGAATTTGGGCCGGAGACGTGTGGAGAGAGTGTTGATAAGTCTAGTGTTAGATATTTTGCATAATATGCATTCGGCGATGCTTTTATGGGATCTCGTTCAATAGCATCAATTCTCTCGTGATTAATACGTGGATGTTTAAATTGTTGACCATTACTGGGATGTTTAAGTAAATTCTCGTTCTCGAATTTAGTTAACTCTAATTTGGCGACGCGTTGTCTAAGCCATTGAATAGTTATCTCATCAACAGGAAATACACCGGCAAGTGCACCCCATTCTGTAGTCATATTCGCAATTGTCAACCGATCCTCTAAACTAAGTGACCGAATCCCTTCATCCCCAGTAAACTCTATCGCACAATTCAACACTTCATCATTATTAAATAGTCCACACAACGTGACAATAACATCTTTGCCGGTAGCACCTTTTTGCAACTGTCCTTTTAGTTCAACTTTTACCACTGGTGGTATTTGCCACCATGTTTTCCCAGTTGCCCAAATTGCAGCAGCATCTGTGCGTACAATCGGTGTACCAAGACATCCTACACCTCCGTACATGTTTGAATGTGAATCAGAGGCGACCGTTAGTGTGTATGGAAATGCGTATCCCTCTTCTATTAGTATTTGGTGGCCGATTCCGCGACCGGCAGGATAGAAATCTACGTTGTGTTGCTTGGCGAATTCTTGGATAGAAAAGTATTTTTTGAGATTCTAAAATATCAGTATTAGTTACAAAATACGGCATTTTATGGTTAATCGAATTCGAGCTTTCGTTCTTAAGCACCTTATCCGATTTGTTTTGTACATCATGGTCGAGCGTAAATACCGCTTGCTGAGGAAACTTGAATTTTTGTACACCGATACTTTTAAACCTAGCAATAATTATAGAAAAATATTACAACTAACAAAATAAGGAACACACCTTACTTGTGTCGTATGACTTAACAAGTGGCTATGATTCCCACAAAAAACTCGCAAAACTCACTTGGTCATTACAGCCGCGGTATTATCGTGCGTCATAACATGCTCAGGTTGTATCGTTACAAATTCTCCACTTCTTACTTTATGTCCCGGGGGTAATCCGACTGCATATTTTTGAACTATTTTCTCGATTAGATTTTGTGATGGCGAAGTATCAATAGGTGTATTTAAAGACGCGAACGTTCGAAATCCGGTGTTTCTTCTTTTATAGGTGGACAAATAGCATTTCAAGTTGGAAGATAAGGTGTTTATAAGTTTAGAACGTGGAAAGAACGCCATTTATTTATTTTAGTGAAGGTAATGCAAAATTTGGTTCTTTTTTTATAAGTTACATAATTATGAGTCATAACCACGCGAAAAAAAAATGATTTAGCTATATTGGGGATAATATATTGATTGTCAAAAAAGTTGGAAATGCGATAAAATATTTTTTTCTTAAAAAATAAAAAATGATTCGCATTTCGACATTGGCGAAATCGTTAAACTTTATCACTACCATCTCATCAAAAATATTAAAAAAGACCTTCTCTTCGGGTAGACGTATACCCTCACCCGCAGCCGCCACTGGGGTCATTAATACTAACAGATTTTCATTATCTTTCACCAGCAACACCGCCAAAAAATCCCGTCTCCTTCCAATTTCCAATAACCTCTTCTCTTCATCATCTCCAATCTCCTTATTTAATAATGATCTGATATCATCATCTTTTCTACTTAATCCGAACTACAATTTTGGTGTCACTCAAATTCGCAGTGTCACTTGGCATCCTCCAAAGAGACCGAGGAAGAAGGCGGCATTGGTGCGCAGGTTCTTAAAGGTAAAATTAATCGGTTTCTTTTGATTTTGTGATTAATCAATTATCCGTTAAAATAATTCTAATTTATTAATATAGGCTAAACGTAAACGACTACGAAGAAATTGTTTTAAAGGGAGAAAATGATCTTATTAATAGTCACGTGGGTAATAAAAAAGAGGATGCAGCACCACGTTTTACCAATCATCCAATGCCACCACACATTATTTCAATATTCAAAAAATATTTTAAAACCCAAGATTACCAACCTGTAGTGCTTCAATTTCCGAGTTTAAAAAAAAACTAAATCTACAAGGTCTTTCTTTGGAGTATATTGAAAACAACAACTAAAAGAATACATTCCCAAAAATTAACAAGATGGGATTGTTTAGGTCTATAACCTATAATAATAGAGTGCTTTCAATTTTATTATTAATACTTGTTATACTGGCACCTCTACTTGGTATATGGTTTCTGTTGTTTATTTGTTTGGGAATTTTTTTCGTGTGTGAATAAATAAAAAAATTGCGGGAATTCTCATTATACTTGCATAACCTATAGTCAAATAATCAAACGTAGAATCGAAAATAACTAATGAAAGAACATTCAATATTTGCAAATTCAAAGTAAAAAATATTAATATAGGAAAAAAATAATCGATCAATTCACTATATCCCATGCTAAATTTTATTTATTGTATTCAACTAATACATACATCCAGTACATGGAGCCAAACCGTCAAAAAAAGAAACAGAACCGGCAAATCCGCCTGGAGAAGACGTAGAACTTAGTGCAGAGTTAATTGACAATCCGTTCAGTTGTAATGTATCTCTATTTCCATTTATCCGATAATTGTAACAAGTATAATCCCTCAATTTGTTTGATTGATCTCTTATACACATGCATATATGCATCTATTTTAATATGGTTAAAAAAATAAAGTGGTAGTCAACGGGCAGCAAACAAAACTACGAGTCACCTTCAACAACAAAGGACAAGAAAACTACACGGTCAGATTTGTGGCGGGAGCATTGACCAATCCTGAAAACGCGACCGAGATATTCACCCGAGTTAGTATTGCTTTTTAATAACAAATTTCTTTATTTCATTTCCTAGCCTTATATTTAATTGCATTATTTCATGCTAAAAGTTTCCAGCCGTGCAATATGATTACCCCGTTCCAACAATGGACCATGCGGAACTAGAATACAGATTTTATTCAGAATTCAGTCCACAAGATTTAGATTTGGTGATTTTTGTGATTTTTACTAACGATGAAGTATGAAGTTACATTTATTTTTTTTTTGTTTTATTATTTTGACTTTTGTTATTTAATTGATGTATTGTCGATTTTTTTTTTAAGAAAAGGACTCGGTTTGAAGGCATTGCGTACAATTCTACGATTCATATTGTTGAACCAGAACAATCCATTTTTGATTTACAATTGTAAGTTCATGACGAGATTATTGAATATTTAAAATTATTTTTTAATTGCTAATATAAAAATACTATTTTCAACAATCAACCAAAAAAAAAGACTCTTCTTATACTTGATCCTAGCCGGCATCATCGGTGGAGTTGGGTACTTGATCTTCCAAGCATTCTTTGGCGGTTTAAAATCAAAGAAAAATCAGAAGGTAACAACTTTTTTAAATCCCATCCGAAAAGCATGAAATAAAATTCAAAACAGGGCACTAAAACTTTCATTGATATTCACCTAAAAAAAATAGTTGCGCGAGCAAAAAATAGCCGAAAAACAAGCAGCACAAGCGTCCATCGAACTAACAACCTACGATGAAAATTGGATCCCAGCGCATCATTTGAAAAAACCGAAAAATAAAAAGAAGGAAGATAAAGCTGATTAATATTAATCATGAATAAATTACTAGAATAATCAAAAATTAATAGGTTAGCGCATAAAAATTTTTTCCATATTCATTCAACAATTTAAAATCTATTAATATCAAAGTCGTATATATCATATCAATATAACCTTTTTTTAAGACATCTTTTATTCAATTAATTAACATCGATAGAAAGCCACAATTATCAAATTATAAATTATTTTATTAATATTTATAAATAAGATAAAATATAATATAAATAATTTCAATTTATAAGAATTAGTAAATTAACAAAACAAATTAAAAATATTACTTCTAAGCTAGAAAAATTAGTAATCTCTAGTCAACCTAACAATCTCTCTAATAATAAAAATGATTTTATTAGATGTAATAATTATGAAAAATTTAGATATATTGCAAGTGAATGCAAAAGTAGAAAAAATAATTATAATAATAATAATAATAATAATTTCAATAATAATTTCAATAATAATAATAATTTCAATAATAATAGTTTAAGAAGTTTTATTATCTGCTATAATTATAGAGATGCTGATCACATTATTAATAAATATGTTAATCCAAGAAAAAATAATAATAGTTAAAATAATAATAATTATATTAATAATAATAATAATAATAATAAAAGAAATAATAGTAATAATAATAATAATAAATAAAATACTTACTTAAATACTGAAAAGTATTTAAACTTTTAAATACATCTTATTTCTAGAAGATAAAAATACATTTATAACTAGAAAATCTTTATTTAATAATGATTAGCTCAAGAAATTATTATTAAAAAATGAAAATTAATAAATATCTGTAGATATTATATATATAAATAAACTTATTAATAACTAATTTTACAAAATAATAATAAATAATAATACTATGAGTAATATAATTACTTAATAATTCTTAAAAAAGATAGACTAGAAGATTTAAAGATCTAGTATAATAAATCTGATTAATATTAATAATTAAAAAAAAGTACTTGAAAAAATAATTAACTTATCAGTCACTTTAGGAATTAAAATAATGAAGATTAAAATATTAGTAATTATAAATGATAACTATATTTTATTCTGAAAAATAATTAGGCTTATACTTATAAAGCAGTTATAAGCTAAATCAAAAACTTATTATAATTTGAAAATAAGAAAAATCAAGTTAAAGTATTTATAATTTATCTAGAAAAATATTATAAAACTAAAGAAGAAAATAATTTATTTAATATTGATAAAGAAGTAAAACTTAAAGTTTTTGATAATAATGATAAAGAAAAAATATAAGAATATGCTTATAAAATAGATATTAACTTTAATTTAAGATATCTAAAATTAGAAAATCTTGTTATTTTATTACAAGAAATTATAATAATAAATTTTTATATTATAATTAAAGTATTAAAAAGAATATTTTATTAATTTACTTTTAGATTTTTTTTAGTTTATAAAGAAATAAAAGTAAAAATTAATATTATAAATATTAGATATACTAGAAATATTAAGATATTAAGATATTAATTCATAATAATTTCAGTTAATTATATATTATATAATCTAATAAAAAGATAATTCAAGTAATATTCTTATTTCTAATAAAAATTATAAAGATTCAACTAGTTTTAACTCATAAAGAACTTGATAATTTAGAAAAAGATTAATAAAATTTTGATTTAACTAAAAGAATAAGATAATTTAAAAAAAATCTTTGATAGAAGAAAAAAGTAAAGATGAATATAAAGAAGATAATAATATTAATCAACTATTTCTGAGTATTCAGAAAAGTCTTAATAAATAAATAATAGTATTAGATTCATAAGTAAAAGAATATTATATTTAGCTTAATAAAGAAAAATTCTTTCATTTAATATTTGAGAAATTAAAAAAATAAATTTATTAATTTAAATAAATATTTTTATGCTAATAATTACTTAGTAACAGAATATTATAAATATAATAAAGATGATTAATTCTATAAATAAATAAAAATATTATCAGAATCACTTTATTAAATTAATAAAAAAAAGTTAATAAAACAGATTTAATATCAAAATAAAAATAATAACTAGAAGAATTATTAAAAGAATATTAAGATTTATTTGATAAAAAATCAAAAAAAAACTATAATTATTCAACATAAGATAAATATAAAGACTGAAAAATTAATAGTTCTAAAATTATATTATAGATACTTATCTATTGAAAAAGAGTTTATAGAAAAAGATATTGAAAAAATATTATAATAAAATATTATTTTGCTATTAAATAACTTATAATTTATACCTGTAGTAATAGTTAAAAAGAAGAATTACAAATATAAATTTTGTATAGATTATTATTAATTAAATAAAATTATAAAAAGAAATCAATTTTTTCTATTTTAAATTGATAGCTTACTTGATATATTTGGTAAAGTATAGTATTTTTCAATATTTAATTTAGTTTTTAAATATTAATAAGTAGAAATAAAGTCAAAAGATAAAAAAAACTGCTTTTATTATTATTAATAATCTATATAAATTCAATATTATATTTTTTAAATTAAATAATATATTAGCTATCTTTCAATATTTAATAAATAAAATATTTAAGTTCTATTTTAAAAAGTTTATAATTATCTATTTTGATAATACTAATATCTTTTTAGATACTTTTAAAAAGATATTTAATAAGCTTAGAGAAAATAATCTAAAACTTTAATCAAGTAAATAATAATTTAATAAAATAATATTCATCTTTCTTGAATATATTATCAATAAAGATAATATAAAGTTAGTTAAAATTTCAGTAATAAAATAATTTTCTAGATTAATAAATCTAATTATTTTAAGAAAATTTCTTGATTTAGTTTTATATTATAGATATTTTATAAAAAATTTTATAAAGATAACTATATCTTTAAATTAATTAATAAAAAAAGATTAGTCTTTTAAATAATTTATAAAATATTAAAAAATATTTGAAGAACTGAAAAATAAATTAATAATTATATTTAAATTAATTTATTCAGACTTTAAGAAATCTTTTATTTTATATATTAATATTTTTAGTTTTGAATTAAAAATAATTTTAACATAAAAAGATAAGAAAGGTATAAAGTATATAATTATTTATACTAGCAAAAAAATAAATAATATTAAGAAAAATTTTTATGTTACTGAGTTAAAATATTTGATAGTAATACAAATAATATAACTATTTAAATCATACTTATATTCTAATATTTTAATTACTAATTATAATACTTTAAAGAGTTTATTTAATAAATTAAAAATTTTTAAAAAACTTACATACTAAATTATAACTTTAAAGAATTATAATTTCAAAATTAAATATTATAAAGATCAAATTCATTTTAATATAAATTTTCTATCTAGATATTTTCAATCAAAACTAACTTAAATATAAAAGAATAAAAAATATATTACAAAATTACTTAATAACTATTTGATTTATTTTTATTAAATTATTCAACTTAAATATAATAAACCTACTTAAATTTTTATAACTTATTATTTACTTAGATATTCTAGTTATAATCAGAAAAAGATTATCAAAAATTTAAAAATAAAATAAAGTTATACTTAGTAAAGAAAGAAATTTTATATAGATATAACAAAAAAAAATCAGATTAGTTTTTAAAAATAATTAAAATTAATAAAATAAAAGAAGTATTATTTAATAATCATTCAGTAATATATACTAAATATTTTGATATTAAAATAATTTATCATAAAATTACTCAAAATTATTATTGATCTAAAATATATTTTGATATTAAAAATAATATAAAAATATATGATATATATTAATATAAAGAAAAAATTAGAAAGATAATTTATTATATTCTATAAAAAATAAAGAATCTTTTAAAAAGATAAGTATAAAATTACTTACATTAACAAAAGATAATTATAAGTATATAATAATTACTATAAATTATTATATTAAGTAAATAGAAGTAAGATTAATTTTGAATAGTTTAGTAGAAGTAATAATATTATTTTTATATAAAAATATTTTTTGTAGTATGATTTTTCAAAAGAAATAATATCAAATAAAGAAATAATCTTTATTAATAAATTAATAAAAGAATTATTCAAGAAATATTAGATTAAATATTATTTATTAATACTATATTATTTTTAAACTAATAGACTTATAAAAAGATTAAATAGAATATTATGTAATACTATTTGAAAAATTAATCTAACTATATAAAAAAGAATAAAATATATATATATCTTTAATACTACTTACTTATAGAATAATAAAATAAAGTTTAATAAAATTTATATTTTTCTATCTTATTTATGATAAATAAGTTATTATATCTTTAAATCTCAAATTAAAACTAATTAATAATAAAGAAGATATTACTTCAAATAAATTAGTTAAAAAAGCTTATATTATTATAAATAAATTAAAGTTAAATAGATCTATTACTTAATAAAATATATAAAAATTCTAATAAAAACAAAAAAAAGCTTACTAATAAGATAAAAAATATTAAGTTTTCTTTATTAAAGATAAAATTATAATGAAAAAAATAAAAATCTAGTATTAATATCATGAAAAATTCATTTAAAAATAAAAAAAATTATATTATATTTATCAAGTTTTTGACAAGAATATTTATAAATTAAGAATATTAGATGATAAAATTCTTAAAAATTCTTATAATAGTAATTATTTAAAATTATATCTTGAGAATAACAGATTAAAATCTAGAATTATTATAGAAAATTAAATATTTCTAGTTCTGATAAAACAGATTTTAGTACTATTAAGTTATGATTTTTATTAATATAAAGAATTAATCAAATAAAAGTAAAACTTTATTAATTTTATAGCAAATTAAATAATTAATATATCTGCTTAAAATCTTATTATTTTATTAATAGAAAAATATTATTGATTAAAGAACTATTATTCAAAATATACTACTTATGATCAATTCTTTAGAGTATTATATATTTATAATTCTATAACTCTTCTTATACTAACTAT